TTAATGCAATCTGGCTTCAAGCCAGTAGGCAAAGCTCTCCGTCTACCGGGCCATTTTCGTTCTTACCCTCACCTATGGTCATGAAGGATGGGTCATGACCGAAAGAACGAGATCGCGGGTACAAGCGGCCGAGATTTTCTCCGCACTGGTGGCTGGTGTCTCCCTTAGGGATAAGGTGAGAAGTTCAGTCATCCGGGAGGGACTCGGAGTTGAACCGCTCCTCCTTCGCGTCAAAAGGAGCCAGTTGAGGTGGTTCGGGCACCTAGTTAGGATGCCACCTGGGCGCCTCCCTAGGGAGGTGTTCCAGGCACGTCCAGCTGGGAAGAGACCAAGGGGTAGACCTAGGACCAGGTGGAGGGATTATATCTCTTCGCTGGCCTGGGAGCGCCTTGGGATCCCCCAGTCAGAGCTGGTTGATGTGGCCAGGGAAAGGGAACTTTGGGGCTCTCTGCTGGAACTGCTACCCCCGCGACTCGACCACGGATAAGCGGGAGAAGATGGATGGATTATTAACAAATCAGTATGGTCTTTTAAAATAAACAAACAACATACTAACTTTAACATTAAAATATTAATATTATCAAGTGCATTTTTTTTTGTGATACGTTATATCCCCTACTGACGCTACTACAGTTCTTTAAGGCTAGTTCAGCCGCATTGGCACTTTTAAACTGTAATGCTCTTATATATCTTTTTTTTTTTTTACTTTCTCTCTGTTGCCCTTTATTCATTCCTTTCGACTTAAGCGGTCAATACAGCTCTTAGTGTGACTGTGCTCTCTGGTGCACTTGTCCACTTTAAAATATTGTTCCACAAGGTTACAACACTTTGAGGCAGACAATTTGAATCAACTATTTTATTTACTTGTGATTTAAAAAATAGATGTTTTGTGTTGTTGCAGTTAAGCTGTCAACTTTGAGCGGGTTGGTAGGAAGGCCAAAGATCTTAGCAGTCTCTCAAGCTGAAGATACAATGCACAGCTGCAGGGGGCTTGTGCGTTTAATGAATGCTAAGGAGAGCCAGTCAAAAGAGTTCATTTTGAGCCTTAATGTTTTTGAATGCTGTGACACATTTCCAGTTGTTTTTTTTCTAGTGAGGTTTACTGTTTCTACAGCGGGATTTCATTTCAAAGGGCCCTCAGCAAAATGGCGTCAGAGTGCCACTGGCAATACTGAATAAATGGTGTCACCCACCAGTGCTGTGGCCTAAGCAGACATAGCCGTTGATGTGTTCCAAAGCATCTCTCTGACTTGGCCCATTGTGCTGTGGAGGAACGGTGAATAGTGTTCTCCAGCAGGGCGAACAATATGTGATTGTTCCCCCTGCTGTGGGAAGAAGCTGTAGGTTACTCTCTGTACCATCGCCAAAGCGCCTGAGGAGGAGATGTAACGTAAAATCTCTGTCTGCTAACCAGTGATTCTCTCAGGTTTAGCGCTCTGCAGTGCTGCTTACCTTTAGCTGTCGGAGCTGGTGGGAGGGGGGCACCCACCCCTTTTTGGTGGAGAGAGGCTTTTGTTTCACTGGAGCATTTCTTTTTTTACCGTTTGTGTGTCAGCGTTCAAATGTATTGACAGCCGCCAGGGCATAAAGAAAACATTCGTACAGAGGTGTGGAGCTGGATTTCAGAAGAACAAGAACTTAAGTGTAATTTGTTAGCATGTCATTTAGGTCCCTCAAGGAGTTTGGTGTTTCTGCGGAACGGTTGGGCACAATTTGTAAAAAATGGATGGCTCGCGTCCAAAGGTCTGTGTGTGACATTGTTCTTACATTAACGTATCTTAAACAGTTTTTAAAATGTTGGTTGTGTGTGTGCTAGACATCTTTTGTACTATAGTCTACATCTATTGACTTGTGATCCTCTGTGGTACTACATAATTGGGAGTGATGCTTCATATTTGCATGATTTGTCTACGCCCATGAAGGTAGCTCCGGGACAAGACTTTTGCACCCGTCAGGAAATGTTTTTTTGCTTGTTTTTGCATCCGAGTTAGACAAAGTTGCTGTAGTCGTAGATACACTGGTGGGTATTGATTCTCTGTCCCAAGGCTTGCCTCAAAGGAAAATGGCACGATTTAGTACTTCACTCATCTTCATCATTGCTCTACTACCCCGAACACCCAGATTGTTATTCGATATGTTGTTGACTATGCAATCCATTGCTGTTGGACCATCCATTATTGTAAACAGTATATTTTTTCAGGAACTACTTTAGTATACACATCAGCTGGTGACAATGCCAAGGATTAATGTTTTAGAAACAAGACTCCTAGTATTTTTTTTAAATATATAAAACTTATCAAAGCACAATAATAAACCTCATTTTAGGTGACAATCATTCTCCAAGCTGGCCTGATAGCAAACAATCCAACAAGAGCATTGTTCAAACTGTGAAATAATTGAGTATGTTGTGTTGCCCGGTGGAGCTGTTACTTATATTGCTAGATCACAATTGGTTCACGCAGGCAGTTGTTTTTTGATTTTTGTATTTGAAAACCCTTTCTATGGTTTCTAGCCAAGTACTTGACAGCGTGCAACACAGCGTATCATATTTGAATCTTTCAAATTATAATATTTGAAGACCCTTGTGTACTTAAAACCAATCTATTTTGTTTCTCTCAGCAACGGCAACGGCAGCAACATGAACGGTTCGCTGGAGCAGTTAGATCAGCCGGATCCAGACTCCATCAAGATGTTTGTGGGCCAAATCCCAAGATCCTGGACAGAAACAGAACTCAAAGAGCTGTTTGAGCCATTCGGAGCTGTGCACCAGATCAACATCCTCCGTGATCGTACCCAGAATCCACCTCAAAGCAAAGGTATGTTCCACTCTTTGGTTTACTCGTTTTACCATTTACTCGGGATGTTACTAGATGTCTTTTTTAAGATAGTGTTGAGCCTTCTGTTTAATTTAAAACCTACATTCTTTTCAGTATTTTATTTTTGAAACCCATAATAAATGGTCATATCTAAGCATGGGTCAGTACAGAGAAACGTAGCCCTTTGTGAAATGCTCGCCGTTGTCCTCCACCTGGATTTGCATGGGTTTAGTGGTCAAGCCCTATACACAAAACCCTGTTATAGCCACGTCATCAGCACAATCCCCCTTAGGCAGTGCACAGCATTGCCTGTCTACACACGCATTGCAGCCGTTAGTGCAAACGGATGAGATGATTCAATAGTCTTTTGTTTCTGGGTAAAAAAAGCAAGACTTTTTTTAATAACCCTGCTATTATAGGAATATATTTTCTATTGTACTTTGCCGTTTGGCTTAAAAGCACAATTGTATGAAGAAAGTGTTACTCTACTGCTATTTTCCATTAAGACGTCTATCGATGCGCTCACCTTTTTATAAATGGTGCTCGAGTTGAGCGGTTCAGTTTCAGTTCCAATTAGTAGAGACGGTGAAGTGCAGGCCTGCTGCCTCCACCTTCTGCAGAGAGCTGCAAAGTGCCACTGAAAGGGCTCAGTCTCCTGTAACTAACTGCAGGTGAATAAAGAAAGCGACGGTTTCACTGATGTAACTGTCCTCGTTTTACGACAACACCCACATTTCAAATGGGTTGATGGTTGGATTGCTAAAGGCACTAATCCACTCTGGCGGGATATTCTTTGATGCTGTATTCTGCGTCTAAATGGAGTTTTGAGATACCAATGCTGTCCCGAGCTGCCTGGCTATTATTAAAGAGCTCTGGCCGACTGTCGCTGGTGGTCTTTAAAGGTGTTATTGGCCTTTAGAGCCACTGTTCCACTGGTTAAGCCTGTAACAGTGTTGGTGGAGGCAGACTGAGGGAGAGTGTTGCTCGACTGGCTGTTCAGCCAAGTGAATAAGTGATTTGATCCATTTAGCACAGTAAATCCTCATGTTTTTGCCTCCGCCCTTTTTCTTTTCAAGTGAAAGACATGCTGACAACAACGCTGCTACTTGGAGGCGGACGGTTTGCCTTTCTGCTGTTGTATTCTCCATCTCTCTTTTTTTTTCAGCATTCATTCAAACGTCATTTGTGAGGCAGTACATTATAAAGTGATGACTGTTGGCTGTGCAAATAAGTTATTTGCCTTTTTTAAATGATTAGCAGTATAATTGTTTTGATTTTCATGGAAAAAAGGAATTTCTTAACTGTCCTATTAACTGTAACTATTTGGTCCAAAATAACCTTTAGCATGGATTGTAAAATATCTTGACATTTTGGAAATAGTTTATTTTAAATCATTTTTCTTTTGAAGGTTAGTTTTATGCTCTAATTTGAATATACTCCTCGTAAATCCTCGTTATATTTGTTGTCTGGTGGCGTCTCACAGCAGACGTGGACCCAACCAGAGCGGCTACTCATTAAATATTCATGATAAAAACATACAATCAAAGTTAATATGCATAGCTGGAAAAATAAACAACATGGAAATGCACATTGATTGCTGTGTGTATAATTTGTTTAATTTCTCAGCACTGCATTTATGGTAATTACAATATTATCATTTAGTTATTTCGTTTTTTTTAGCTACCTTTTTTAAAAGTGTAAAAAATCTATGCAACAACCCTAATTGCAGCACATCATGTGACCTGGACAGCACTTAATTCACATGATCTTTTTAACAAGATATACACACCCAACAAGGCCAGCATATCCTACATGTGTTCAAAGTTACCCCAGCAAAATCTCAGGGGTAATTATAATTCTGTGTATAAAGAGATATACAGCCAACACTGCAGTTCATTGAGAGGATGGATAGTTCAAAGCCTCCTTTTCTTTCTTTTTTTTAGCAAAGACCTCCCCTGTTCTATGTGGAGTGTCAGCTGTGATGGCCTATTGACATGTTAATGCAATGTTAATGTATTCTAATAGATCATCTGGCCTGATCACAGCGGCCTTTGGCTCACTCAGACTGTGTGAGGTGAATATGGTGCAGACCCACGCCCATTAATTTTCTCTGCCTTCCTCCTTCCCCTTTCCCCAGTAGTCTGGATGGCAGTTTCATTAAAGCAGGATGGCCTGATGATATTTGCCTTATGTTTATTTGCATGGCAAATAATTCACCGTTCGGTCACACCCTTCCTATGTTATCAATCTTCCCATTTGTTAGTTGAAATTGCTGTAATCCCTCCTTCATTTGGGTTGTTTACTCTGCCACGGATCTATGGAGGATCCATCAGATTTTGAAGTGTTTTTTGGGTCACGTCTACTGCAGGTCATGAAAAAATCATCTGATAACCATCACGCCTCTCTAGATGGTTTATTTAGCCCCAGTAAATGGGAGGCAGGGCTAAGCAGCAGAGAAAGAGAGGCAGAGCTCAGCTGGTTGTGAGAGAGAGACGAGAGCAGCTCGATGCATATTAGAGTTCAACAGCCCTCCCCGCGGCCTGGGAGCTCCAGTAACAGCATAATACACACTATGTAGGTCAGAGACGCTGCAGTGCTCCACTTCCCCAACCCAGTGAAACTGACAGGCTGGAACGCCGCTGGCGGTCTGCTGGGACGGAAGGATGAGAGGCTTTTTTTGTTCTCCCTCCCCCGCTCTTCTTTTCTTCAACCCCCTCCCCCATCTCCTACCTCCTCCCATGATTCCTCTTCCTTGTTCTCACTCCTTTTCCGACTTGTCTCTTTGTGCTGTTTTTATGCCTCCTGTATGTATGTTTGTATGCGATTGGATTCTTATGTAATGCAGCACCACTCTCTATGATGTGTTGGTGTGTTGGTACTGTGCCCTGGCATGCCTGGGTTTTGTTGACCTGTGGACAGTGCATCAGTGCCTCCTGACAGCTATCTGAACCCTGTGGTCATCTCTATGGCCCGGTCACACAGCAGCCTTCAGCTATCATTACTCAAGTCTCCCCGCTACAAGCTCCTACATGCTCTGTGTGCAGCATCGAACAGTTAGTGCTAAGAATAACCAGTCACATGCTTTAAACATGTGATATGAGGAGAACAGCACTCATACGACTAGCTCCTTTTCTGCGCTGCAGTTGTTGTGGTATTAGATTCACTGCCTGTATGCGCTGTGTTTCTAATGCTGTTTTTGTCTCCTTCCCCCCGCCCATTGTTTGTCCCTGTTTTTCTCTCTCTGCAGGATGCTGTTTTGTAACTTTTTATACAAGAAAAGCTGCACTGGAGGCCCAGAATGCACTGCACAACATAAAGACTTTAAGTGGGGTGAGTAAGCACAGTATGGTCTGCATTTAGCTGCTTGAGCCCTTCTACAGCCCGGCTGCAGCCTGTGAGCTTTTTGCTGGCTGATAATGAGCTCTCGGCTCACTGAACGCAAGTTTGCCCTGAAAAATATCTGGTCCCCACTATGCACTGACATCCAGGGAGGACTGCCGCTGAATCTCAACACACTGAACTGATAAGCCCGCTGCACACGCACACGCACACGCACACGCACACGCACACGCACAGGTAAAGTGTGAAGTGTGAAGTGTGAAGTGTGCTTGACCAGGCAGCAGGTTATTCACTGAGGCACGGAACCTGATTGCCACAAAGTGGAACAAATTATTAATGCTTGTCTTCATGAATCATTGATGCACATCTACATTTTTATGTCCTAAAGTTGGAGGAATAAAGAGAAAAGGGATGAAGTCTCTTTTAACTTGTTAGAGTGAATGTTGTCTCCCCTCCCCTATTTCCCCTCCTGATTTATCTACAGATTAAAGCCCAGTCAACCGGAATAAGTGCCATTTCTTGTTAAACCACCACAAATCTGTCCCTCCTGTATGCCGTTCTAAATTACTCTCTTCCCATCAATAAAATCTATAACAAACGACTCCAGCAGTCGATTTAATCAATAGCACAGTCTATTCAAAATGCTGCCCCTGTCAGTGAGTTTACAGGTAAATATTGAACTGGGTTGATAAATGAGTGTAGCAGGGTATATGGGTCTAGCTCTTTCTACTGGAGGACTATCAATCAGCCCGACATTTCAAATAAAGTGTGGTCTAACAGCTCAGCTCTCGAACCCCAGTCCCAGATCATACTGTGACTGGCATCGACTGCAGGTTGGGTTTGCGTGACTGTGGAAAAGCTTGTTTCTGTTCCTGTTTTTTCTCCCTTCTGTGCCTCCCTCTCTCCCTGGTCGGTGACGCTAGCCAGTACCCATACTGAGCAGGCCATCTGTTGGCTTCTCTTTAGTGCTTGTCAAAAACAAACACACCACTTTTCATAAGCGCCACCTGCACCCGCATCATGCAGCTAGATTCATTTTCTTTTCTTTTTGGCATCACATGACGGTTAAAATATGCTAAAAATATATACACTTGAAGTTCTGCGAATGGCTTCGAAAAAATGTGTTAAATGGCATGAAATGACGGATCCTTAGGCAATTTCTCACTTAACAAACACAGCTTTGGAAAGGGCATTTTTTTCAGAGATGTTAGGCTGACTCAAATGAGATTTATCACAGCCCACATTTGCCACACATTTTTCTGTTTGTATGTGATTCAATATATAGTCACAACCAAAAACTCACTGTACAGTTGAAAGCAAAATAGTACTACTAAAAGTAATGCTGCCTTGCTTGTCACCCCTCCTTGTAAAATTGTTGTAAAGAAAATGAGGGATGTTGACAGGAAGAATCGATAAGTTCAATCACAAGTCTACACTACAGCAAGAAGGGAAATTGGATACCAGAGAATTTGATCCCCGCCATTAACTCGTAGACATTTCCTCCTGAATCTTGCCGTGGTGAGGGAGGAAGGTGGTTTTAGAACAAAACACGAGGCAGAGAGAGATGCCTGAAGATGGAGGGCATGAGTGTGAAAATATGAGCCTCTTGTGATGACGGATAACAAGGCCAGACACCTGCATATTTCAAAATGGTGACAGATGCAGTGTTAACCATTTCCCTCTGCTATTTTTTTATAGATGCATCATCCTGTCCAGATGAAACCCGCTGACAGTGAGAAAACAAGTGGTACGTGGATTCATGTGAAATGCAGGGTGACATGAGGACAGGAGGACATGAGGACAGGAGGGTACACAGATAATGAAAAAAAAAAAATCTTTTTAGATTTAGCGAATTGAGTCAAGAGATTTTAAAAGAAGACCAGTGAAAGATCTAGTGCCAGGGGTTAGGAGGATTAAGGGCTTTAAAAGGCACCGAGGGAGAAGAGTAGAGCAGGTAGAGAGGATATGGTGAGCACAAATGAATGACAGTCATCTGTCTCTAAGTCGACGAAAACAAAGCGGCAAATTGTACAAGAGGCTGCCACCTCGAGTGAGAGGCAGAACATGTGTCAGCGAGACGAGGGAGCTTATAAAAAGAGAAGTGCAAGATTTAGCGCCTGATGTGACTGCCGCTTCCAGAGCTCCATAATTGTTTGTCTGAATAGCTTTCCTCTTTTCAACCTTCTTGCAGCGGTAGAAGACAGAAAACTCTTCATCGGGATGATTGCAAAGAAATACGGCGAGAACGAGATCAGAATGATGTTCTCGTCTTTCGGACAGACCGAAGAGTGCCGAATTCTCCGGGGACCAGATGGTCAGAGCAGAGGTAGGTGTGCTTTCAGCGTAGGCACAGTGTTATCAGCCTCACAGCCGCCATCTTCAGCGAGTACAAGCTGTAATCATGTCTTTATACAGGCCCCACCCTACTTCTTTATTTCCACCCCCTCCAAACCCTCCAAAACAAGTGCTATTCACCTCCAGTGGCACCCATTCCATCCCCACAGTCCCATCCCTGTTACACTCAGCCTCCACATCTCACTTGCCGTCCGGCACAATGGGCCGTCTCCTTGGCAACCGCTTGCTGCCGGTGTTCGTGGGCTCAGCTGGCAGGCGGCTCGGCTCCTCCTTTACCGCCTCCTTCATCCCACTCTACAAAGGCTGGAATTAGCTTGTCGTCGCTTCTCCTACATAGCCCTCGACTGCATGAAGCCTCAGATAGCAGGCGGCTCGAGGCTCTCGAGTTGATATATAAGATAAAACAGAGAGAGCTGGCCATGAATTTCTTCTTCTCTTTTAGTAAATTGACACAGTCTCCACAATTTAATGAAATTAACCTTAAAACACCCGTTGATGTGAGCAGATGTTACACATTTTATCAAATCAAAGCCTTTCAATGTGTAGTTATGTGTACATTTTATGTGTTTTTTTTAATAATCATTGACTGTTTCACCATGACACCACCTAGTCAAGCCTCTTCGAGTGGCCAATGTAATCTGTCAATCACTGTGCTCATGTGACATGTGTTACTGTTCTCCTTGTTGTGTTCTTTCTCCGTGTGCTAACAGTGAGGGTGGTTCTGTGTGCTTGGGAGTTGCCATTCTTTGTACTGTAAAGTGTTTTTTGGGGTTCATAACGAGTTGTCCAAACCTTTTTGTCTTGTTTTGTTTCTTCTTGTCCCTCCCTCCCTCCCTCCCCCCTCTCCTATTGTTCTACAGGCTGTGCGTTTGTCACATTTACTACCAGGGCACAGGCACAGAATGCAATCAAAACCATGCATCACGCTCAGACTATGGAGGTACTGTACCCCTTAGCACCTATTTCTCATTTCCCCCCTATCCCCTCATACATTCTGCTGCCCCCTTGTGTTGAAAAGCTGAAGAACATGTCCAGGCAGATGGCGTCCATTCATCATAGAGCATGAGTCATTTCCAAAACCACTCTTGTTAATTACAAAATTACATTGTCGTCTGAAAAATAATTGAATAAAACGTGAAACATTGCCTCTCTCATAGCTGCTAAATTCAGGGTTAACGTGAAACGACAGGAATTGCCGTCATCTCCAATTTTTGGACTGAACTAAAAGCATCTAATTTGTTGATTCTGATTAATATTTTAGAGCCTAGCCATCAAAGTCTGCCATAATCAATCTATAGTTTAGACCACAGGGACAAGAGCTGCCACCATCAAATATAGGTTAACAAAGAATGAACCCAGACTGGATCAGCTACTCTACTAGATTTCTTCAAAAACTGGGTCCATGTCATCATGTAGCCGATGGTATGTTTGTGGAAGTGGAGCAGCAGTAATTTGACAGCTAGCAGGTCAGAGGCTCCCCAGTGGAGCAGCAGACCAAGTCTAATTAGGAGCCCGACCAAACATAACACTCCTCCTACCAGATTAAACACAGGCCCCAGTGGTGCTGCCACCTATTTCCCCGCATTTCATAACCTCCCCAATTCTCAGCTGCCATGGGAAGTGCGGCTGGTTCAAAAGCCATTTCCCCTGTCCAGCCTGGTCCCTTTATGGCGCTCAACTCTGAAAATACTTAAGCACAGCATGCCAAATGTCCAAGCGTCTTTCTGAACAGTATGGGACTGTCTGTTTGTGAGATTGTGTGCATTTGTAATGCCTTTTTTCTGTTTATGTCTGCTGACAAATCCTCGTTTGTCTGTTTTTTTTTAAGTGTTGTCTCCATCTGTTGTCTGCTTGTCTGTGGACTCAATTACGCTCAGTGCTAAAAAAGAATCACTGTCTGCAATTTTGTCCTGTGCCCCTTTTGGAATGTGGCCTGGCTCAGCTATGCATGGAAGATGTACTCTGTGTTGGATATGAATGCAACAGGCTTAAATCAAACTGTCTTGAGGCATAGAAGATACCCTTTTTAAAGAAAGTCCTTGCAATGACTGCTTCCTTACATTGATAAATCAACTGGATTCTTCTGTGTGCTTCTGAGTCTATCTAACGTCTCTGACCTCTACATCGCTTCAGGGCTGCTCCTCACCTTTGGTGGTGAAGTTTGCCGATACGCAGAGAGATAAGGAGCAGCGGCGCCTGCAGCAGCAGTTGGTGCAGCAGATTCAGCAGCTGAACAGCGCCTCCACTTGGGGAAACATTGCCGGCCTGGGGACCCTCACACCGCAGTACCTGGCAGTAAGTGTTGCTCAAACACGCAGAGCTGCACAAGCCTTCCTCGTGAATTGATATATGGCACGGTTTAAGTTTCAAAATGTATTTATAGTTAAGCCATATGTTAACCATATGGGCCGCTTGACAAAGTACAAGTTAAATAAACTAAGCTACATACAATATAAAGGAATACACTTATACATAATAAAGGGTCTTTATAAGACAATACATTGTACATGTGAAGTGTTGGTTGTAAATTAATTTGTAGATGGAGCCAAAAAAGGACTTGCTTTGATCTTAATTCTTGAGGTTTTGCAGTTTTACCGGTTGTCATATTGATGGGGTTAGGTTTATCTTTGAACAGCCTCTCAACAAAACTGCCTGGGATATGTTGTAATTAATTGTATTATCAGGTGATCTTGTGTTGTTATCTTGTATGTTTAACAGTGACTGACTATTCTGAAAAGAAATGCAGCAGCCATTTTGTCTGCAATACACAGCCTCTTAAGCTTAACCCTTTGAACAATATTTTTATTACATTTTCTAAATTAATTAACTTGATAAAGGCAACACTTGAATTGTCAATACTGTTCTGAAAAAAAACAGCTTTGTTAAGCTATGTTATTATATTGTTGATAAATGATGAGATGTGTCCCTTATTCGTTTCTGATATCAATTCCTTCCTTTCTCTTTGTCCTCAACAGTTGCTCCAGCAGGCCACGACCCCCACCAACCAAGGCAGTTACAATAATATGCAGAGGCTAGGAGGTGAGTGCAGCCTCTCACTGCTCTGAAGTCCTTCTTCTGTAAATGAACAAGCTGCCACTTCTCATGTCAAAAACCTTGTGACTCAGTGCCTGACGCCCACCTGGCTCTAACTATCGTAAACCACATGACTCTTTCAGATCAGTGGCGTATTAGTAATGGATGCCTGTGTAGGCTGCTTAAAGGCACATAACCATTACTTACTCAAATTTTCCGTGTTTTTAACGAAATGGCAAACAGTATAACTATGGAGGGGCACTGTATGTGAAGCTCTAACACTCTAAACGACTACTGCACTTCCTTTTGGTTTTGAATACAGTAATCTTTCTATTAAAGTCCTCTAAACCAGCTATAATAAACACTGTTTGGATTTATTTTGGTACAGTCATGCTACCATATGAAATGGCTTGATGAATCAGCTTAGACACAGGAAGCGCTCAAAAGTTAGTGTGAGTTTATCAAATTTAGAAGTGATTCCATGTCAGCCACAGCTTGCCACAAAAAATCTGACTGATATTGTATTCAACAAACTTAAACTAGCTTTATTAAATGTCAGGTCTTTGGCAGGTAAAACATTTTTAATCAATGATTTTATCACTGAGATGTTTTTAACGGAAACATAGATTGAACAAAATAACAGTGCAGCTGTTCTTATCGAATCAACCCCTCCCAACTTTAGTTTTATGAGTCAGGAAAGAAGGCATAAGAAGGGAGGTGGAGTTGCTATTTTGTACAATGATTCCCTTCAATGCAGGAAGACATCTTATGGGAACTTTGCTTCTTTTGAATATGTGGCCCTTCAGCTGAAATGCTCTTCTCGAGCTCTGTTCCTAAATATCTATAGACCACCCAAATACTGTGCAAGCTTTTTTGATGACTACTGAACTGCTGTCTATAGTGTGTATTGACTTTGACCGTCTAGTCATTGTTGGTGATTTTAACATTCATGTTG